CTCGTCAAAGAGACAAGTGAAGCCCATCCTTTGACCAAACGTGTGCTAAACAGTTGTTGTATCTCCCCTTCTACCCTGGGCCATTCGCATTTCCTATATCCTCCTATCATGCCTTACCTGTCACAATTTTTACCGTGCTTATTTTTAATGTAGTATGGTGTGCTCCTTCAAGCGACATTCAGGAAAACCCTTCACACTCCACGCTGTTGTTATTATCCCCTTCACCCTTGTGCTAGGAATGTTGACCAGAGTCTGTCATATTGTTACGTAGTCCCTCCCTGGGTCCTATCAGAGTCTCCCTTTTGCCCCGTAGAATCCGTCTGCTATCTCCCTGGTACATGTATTTTACTCGACCCCTGCCCCTCCATCTGTGCTACTCAAGGCGTAATTCGTCCATCCCCTGCATCTGGGTGATTGATTAGAGGCTAAAGCCTCAGAGTAAGTCTCATGGTCATGCCTTTTCTACATGGACCACGTCTCTTGTAAAACCTACTGTCAGCCAACTAGCTCCGATCGCCGCCTCGTCTATCCTGTTTCTATCTCTAATACCAAGTCTATGACTTGGCATGCCCTAGTCGCTTGTGTGCCAACCCAAAAATGTCGTGGTGCTGCTGGCTTTGATTAGGTTGAATCTTGTGTGCTAACCCACAAACGTTGTGGTTCAACATTGAACCTAATCAAAGCCAGCAGTCCCACAACATTTGTGGGTTGGTACACAAGCGATTAGGGCATGGCAAGTCATAGACTTGGTATTAGGGATAGAGACAGGATAGACGAGGCGGCGATTGGAGCTAGTTTGCTAATAGTAGGTTTTACAAGAGACGTGGTCCATGTAGAAAAGGCATGACCATGAGACTTACTAGGGAATGTACCATGTCCACGGTCCTACTCTGGAAATGATGATGCATACAATGGACTCCGGACTAGGTAGGAACCAATATAACCAAGTTGCGAGAGCAAGGTCAAACAACTTCTATACAACGAAAGAAGACTGCGACCGCACAAAAGGCCGCACCATCTTGGTCTTCATACCTTCATCGATATTAATGTTTCTTTATTTTACCCATTCATTGCGAAGGCCGTTGAAACCCAAAGCCTATTGCCGTATAATTTTTTTGTTATAATTGTATTTTTTTGTCTATCAATAATCAGGAAATTAATTGTGCTTCACCTTGATCTCTTGTCAGGTCTCTCTCCTTCTTGAGGCTTGCCCTCATTTTATTAGTCTCCATCCTGTGCCACAGGCACCGGCTGGCGGCGGCGTTCCTGAGGCCAGACTGAATAGTCTGCTTGTATCTCCATCATTACCACCTTCCGTGATGCTCGCATTTACCTCCCCGGATTCCGATTCGCCTTTATCCGGACTACCCTTGCCTACGGGTTCTAACATTAGTTCGAGTACCGTCGTTTCTCTTCTATCACCACTGGCATCTTCTGCACCGGTGAAGACCGGCTACCATATTTCAGCGGATTCAAGCCTAGAGTCAGACAGCAATTTCTGCAGCAATAACCCTAACACCGATGTCAACATCAATAGCAGCTCAGGAACCTACTTGGATAACGGCACAAACTCTTTAACTCTGAATTCCTCGAATTCATCCAATTCGTTAAACAAACAATCTTTCACGTCAGAGGTGCGACCCACGATCCCCGGTACTTGCTTGAGTTACAACGGTCTCTTCGATTGTCCCTCATTCTGTACCAGCCGTTTGCGTTCCAAATACTTGGACCGTTTGCCTGGCTGTAAGAGGCGCTTGTATTCCGGGGCCCGGTTACCCGGCTCGGCGACAACAGCAGCAGCCGTACAAATTGGCCTGCATGCTGGCCAATTGACTTTGACTACTCTAGCGTCGGCTCATTTGCCTGCTGGCGCCGTCGGTAGTAGTTTCGGGTCAAATGGAAATGCTGTGCGCACTCGAGCAGCTGCGGCCGCGGCTCAACGACTCATTCAGAGGGAACAGCAACAACTGCAGCAGCAACAACAACAGCTGTATCCCCAGAAGCATCCCATAGAGTCTCGCAGATCACCGTTGGGTGAGATGGATGGACATTCTTGTCTATTGACCAACGAGTATCCCCAAGTTCATGAGGCAATCGGCCAAAAATTAAGTAAGATACTGCTTTTAAATCATGCTTGACTTTTGTGCCCTTGGTTTCAGCTTTTTCACGTATCACAAGTCCTTTGAATATAATTCGGACAGGAAAAGTTGTGTTATATAATGTTGGAAACAATTAATTTTTGGCATTTCTCCGCTTGATAGTTTCGTGGTTGGCATAAATTAGTTTAATCGAGGGCATGAAGACAACGATGTTGCGGCCTTTTGTATGGTCGCAGTTTCCTTACTCTGGCTATTTAGCCTCAAGTTAGTATCCCATCCAGCTTGAGAATCATGATTTTTAGGGGCCTACTCAGCGAGGCGGGAGTATGCGTCCCATCAAAGACTTGAGACAATGTGGGAAATAACGCTTCGAGTAGTACAGAAAGGGTGGCAGAAGTCGAGTGAAATACCTGAAGCAGGAAGGTAAAAAGCAGACCCTAAGGGGCTAGAGGAGACTGATAAGACATATGGGAAGAGGATTACGGGGTGAGGTGGCAAGAATGCCAGTGTTGGAATTGGAGTTCTCATGAAATCAGCTAAAAAGGGCACATTATACTACATCTAAATAAGCAATTAAGAAATTATGTTTTTGAAGGGATGGCACGAGGATATAGGATTGGTGAATAGCCTAGGGAAGAGGGAGAGATGCCACAATTGTTTAGCAGACAATTGTTCAAGGAATCGGCTTCACTTGTCTCTTTGACGAGTTGTAGTGTGGAGCTAAGAATGGCAAAGCTCATTGACGATGCCGACTACGATCCCGGCGAAACGTCTGGGAATGTACTACGTCCACGGTCCGACTGGAAATTGTCATGTATATATGGACTCCGGACTAGGCGTGTCTTACCTAGGTCTTCCTACCAATATAACTAAGTTGCGAAAGCAAGGTCAAAGAACTTCTGTAAACTAGATTAGTTCGCTTCCTAGATGAAAATACCTCCTTCATTACTTAAACTCATTATTAACTTGTAT